AAGGGCAAAAGATCTGAACAGACACTCACAAAGGAAGATACACACATGGCCAGCAGAGCAAGCGCAGGAAGAAGATGCTCAACACCATCCCTAGGAAATGCCAACGAAACCACCATGAGCCCCACACACCTAGGAAAGGGCTGAACTTTGAAAAGGATGCAGCACCGACGTCAGAATATGGAGCGAGTGCGGCTGTGAAACGAATGTGAAGCCGATTTGGAAAATAGTTCAGCACTTTCTTACAAAGTTAACCGCACACTTTGACCCAGGGGTCCTCAAACTGCGGCCCACGGGCCACGTGCGGCCGCCAAAAACATTTATCCGGCCCGCCGGGTGTTTTTGCCGCCGCTGCCTGTCCTGCTTAGCAGCCGACGCGTCCCGGGCCCGCAGTGCGCGTGTGTGGGATGTCTGAGGGACAGTGACCTGGCCCCCGTTTAAAAAGTTTGAGGGCCTCTGCTTTAACCCCTCCTTCCTATCATTTCACACCAAGAGAAATAACCTCATGTCCACACAGACTTGTAAGCACAGCAGCTGAACCCTGGTGTGTGTACACCTGCCCGGCTGGCGTGGCTCAGTGGCTGAACGTCAACCCACGAACCAGGAGGTCACAGTTCAATCCCCTGTCAGGGCATGTGCCCAGGTTGTGGGCTCGATACCCAGTAGGGAGTGTGCTGGAGGCAGCCAATCGGTAATCCTCTCATCATTGATGTTTCTATCTCTTTCCCTCTCCCTTCCTCTCTCTGAAAATCAATAAAAAATAAGTAAATAAACGTTACTATAGGACAATTTTTTTTTTTTTAAGAAATGGCTGTTACCTGCACCATGGAATACCCCCTCAGCAAAACAGAAATCAACTACCCACACAGGCAGCCCCCTGGCTTTCCCAAGGAGTCCGACACCAAGGGTTTGTGTATGATTTTGTTCCTGTGAAACTCTACGAGGGAGATGGGAATCGACAGGAAAAAGCAATGCACTGGCTGCCGGGGCTCTACTCCTGGACGGCAGCGTTTCCCAGGCGGGCACATCTCTCAAAACCCACCAAGCACGCGCTCCTCCTCATGGCACCCTCCCCCTGGGCATCTGTGGAAGCAGACTTCCCTGCACCTCTCTGCCCCTTCTCCACCGGGTGCTAGGGGGGTCCTGCCCACGGCCCAGAGCTGGAAGGGGTGGGGGGAGCTCGCTCTCTCCCTTCCACCTCCACGCAGAGCTTCTGCCTGGTGGAAAGGTGGTGGGAAGGGGCCAGAGCAGAGGAGGGAGGATGCAGGTGAGCACAAGAACCAATCACTCACCTGGCTAAGGTGCAAAGGGTGAAGGCAATGAGCTGAGGCAGAGCCAAGTTCATGGGGGGTGGGGGGGGGCAGCGGCTGCACCCAGCTATTTGGATGAAGGAATGGATGGGAAGTGCCCTATCAGGGCTCTTCAGGAGGAGGTTTTGAGAGAGCCAGGAGGTGAGGGGAGAGCCTGGACTCCCGCTCAGATGCCCTGCTTTGCTAATGATGGGCTGGGGCTGGGGCTGGGGTGGGGCACGCTTCGGCAGCCCTGGTATGCTGGTCACCGGAGGTTCACCTGAGACTCAGGCTCCAAAACGGCACCCAGTGAACAAGCTGCTGGTAGACACCAGAGACTTGGGGAGGGCCCCCCTTTCTCTGGCTTCCCTAAACCTGGAAGGTCTCCATGCATACCTCACTCTCCGAAGCCCCGGAAATTAATCCCCCAGTCCCGAAGCCTCCGCGCCAGGACGACAAGAGGTCCACACCGCCCCTGGTGCTCCCTCGCAGGCCCAGGCCGGGGTGCCTCCTGCGCAGCATGGGGCCAGGCTGTCCACACAGTAGAACGTCTCAGCTTGACCCCAATGTGTGAGGCGGAGCCCGGGATCCCCACACTCTAAGTGAGGTCACTGGAGCCCCTGAAAGTTTACAGAACTTGCCCCGCGAGGCCCCAGTTGGTCCTCGGGCCTAACGCCAAAGCCCACACCAAGCCTGGGTGAGTCACTCCCTTAGGCCGCAGTGCCGGGGCTGAAATGGAGGTGATCCCAGTGCTGACAACAGGTTGCAAGAATGAGAACCGTCCCTCGTGTCGGAAACACATGAAGAGCCATTCTGGGGCCTCCGGGGCGTTGCTTCTCCAAGCCGCTCCTGACCCTTAGCACCCGACCCCGGGCCTCACCCACCAGCACCCAGTGGGGCCTGTGTGCTGCCCAGACCTGGGATTCCCTGAGGCCCATCTGGGCCCCGCCTCCTCCCTCCCAACCTGATCTGATCTTCCTCTTCCCCTCAGCTCAGCGCAGCCTCCATCAGGCCTCCTTCCTCCTGGGGGCTGGCCTCCCACCTTCCCCAGGCTGGCTTCCCGTCTCCCGGGGGGGGCCCGTCCTCCTCTCTCCCGGGGGAGCCCGTCCTCCTGTTATGCCCATTTTTCAAAATCCCCCTCCCCGGCCTCCCGTCTCCCGGGGGAGCCGGCCTCCTTTCTCCCGGGGGGACCGTCCTCCTCTCTCCCGGGGGAGCCCGTCCTCCTGTTATGCCCATTTTTCAAAATCCCCCTCCCCGGCCTCCCGTCTCCCGGGGGAGCCGGCCTCCTTTCTCCCGGGGGGACCGTCCTCCTCTCTCCCGGGGGAGCCCGTCCTCCTGTTATGCCCATTTTTCAAAATCCCCCTCCCCGGCCTCCCGTCTCCCGGGGGAGCCGGCCTCCTTTCTCCCGGGGGGACCGTCCTCCTCTCTCCCGGGGGAGCCCGTCCTCCTGTTATGCCCATTTTTCAAAATCCCCCTCCCCGGCCTCCCGTCTCCCGGGGGAGCCGGCCTCCTTTCTCCCGGGGGGACCGTCCTCCTCTCTCCCGGGGGAGCCCGTCCTCCTGTTATGCCCATTTTTCAAAATCCCCCTCCCCGGCCTCCCGTCTCCCGGGGGAGCCGGCCTCCTTTCTCCCGGGGGGACCGTCCTCCTCTCTCCCGGGGGAGCCGCGCACCTCAGCCCCGGCTTCCTGCTCCGTGGCCGCCCCGCTGCCAGCAGGTCTGGGCACGCTTGCCCGGCGTGTGTGGTTGGGGCATCTGGGCTTGAGGCCTTGACGACTCAGATCAGATGGCAGGGAGGCCAGGGGAGGGGCAGAGGGGCGGGTGTCAGGACTGGGAGCCTGGCAGCTGCAGAGGCGTTTTCCTAGGACCACACCTTGGGTCATCCTGTCCCTGCTGAGCCCCCACCGGGGCCAGGTGTGCGCAGGGGCTGCTGGTCCCTCGGGCTGCCCCCGCCTGAGCTTCCACTCCCTCCTGAGAGCCCCTCCTCCCCCGGGCCGGCCCCTCCAGCCGGAGCCATTTCCCGCCTCGACCCCGGTTTCCCGACACCACCCGGAACCCTGGCGTGCCCGCAAGGATTTTAAAATACGCAACACCGGACTATTTAGAGAGGGACGCTGACCTCTTTTCCTTTAGACCAGTGGTTCTCAACCTTGGCTGCACCTGAAATCAGGATTTTAAAAAGATTCCCAGGTGATTCTCAGGTGCAGCCAAGGTTGAGAACCACTGCCTTAGATGATCAAATAAAAATATGACAACAGCCAACATAGCAATAGCCATCTGGTGTAAATGAATCAAAATTATACTATTTTTAAATATATGTTTTTATTGATTTTGGAAGGAGATGAAGGAGAGGGTTAGAGAGATAGAAATACTGATTGGCTGCCTCTTGCACGGATCAAGCCTGCAACCCAGGCATGTGCCCTGACCAGGAATCAAACGTGACCTCTTGGTTCCTGGGTTGATGCTCAACCACTGAGTCTCACCAGCCGGGCTCTTTTTGGTTTGTTGTTTTTTTTTTTGTCAGATGGGCAAAAATAAATATTTTTGGTGTGCCACAGACTTAGTAATTAGTTTATGTGCCATGAGATGAAAAAGAAGGGCCTTTGGATATTTGTAACATCATTCTCGGTCCATACAACATTATCAACTTAAAAATTATGTTGCTCTGAAACAAGCTCCTAGATTTATTGAATTTCAAGTCCCGCCTGCAGCTGCCTTGACAGAGCCAGACCAAATGACACCGCACTCCTGTTCTAGACTGAGCGCCAGGGTGCTGTGGCTGCCTCCAGGTCCTTCCTGTGCGCCACACGCACAAGCCTGCACGCACTCCCACGCGGGGTGAAGCCAGATGCTCCTCGAAGACTCTTCTGGGGAGGACTGTGACCCAGGGGGCTCCCTGAGAAGTGGCCAGTAAAACCCCTCCAGCTAGGAGACTTCTCCCTCCCATGCACCCCAGCCCAGGGTACTGCCCAAGTGCCCCCAAGGAATGAGAGGCAGCCTCCCCAGGGGTAACCCCCAGGGCATCGGGACCCAGAGCAGGAGAAGTGAGGCAAACCTGGCTCCAACAAGTCCTCCGTGGCCAGCGGGTCCAGCTCACTCAGGGCCAGTGAGGTGCAAAGTTAAACGAGGGCAGTCAGCTCCAAGGACCAACTGTGGACAAGCAGGAGACCTCCAGGGCCTGGGGAGCCACCGAGGCCCTGCAGCAGCCCCTGGGAAAAACCCTTGGAATCAACCGTGTCTCTGCCTGCCTCCCCCCCCCACCCCAGGTTTCCTCCAGGAAGCCCTCCAGTCCACCACTCAGGTCCTTCCAGCTGCTTGGCCTTGAACTCTTACTGGCGGCCTGGCTGGGGCGAATCACTTTCCTGTCTGTGAAATGGGAGCCTAAGCCCCAGCCCAGACAGATTGATAAATAACCATGAGTCCTGGGCTCTTCCCCGGCTCTTCCTTCCAGCTTATAGGGGGTGCCAAAGGCAGCCCAGGGGTGAGAAACAAGGCCTGGGTGGCCTCCTGCAACCCCCACTGGAATCTCCCCGGCCCCTCCCTCCCAGATTAACTGAAACCTGCTAATTGTGGCAGCCCTCGGCCTGGTCCCCTCCCCCACCGCCCGATTCCACCTCCCTTGGCCTCCTCTCCCCTCCCCCTTCC